GACCTTCACAGCTTGGACGTGCCATTCCGTGTTCGTGGTTGCAAGCAATCTGCATCTCCTTCGTGTTCCTTTGATGAAAAGCAACACGCCAATACTGCTTCTTCCCCGAGAACTGTCACTTTGTGGAATATATTCACGAGAGAAAGCTTCCCTGACAACCACAGTCTTGGTCTAGAGGTCAACCGATATCTATCCTAATCGTTCTCATAATATTCCCTTACTTCCTCCTTCTCCATCCCTTAAAATCTCACTCAGTAATCCTCTACCTTCAGTGGCTCTTAGGCCTTTTATTAGGTGAGTAATCATTCAGTCAGTTATGTGCCATGCGTGATACACGCTTAGGGGATCATGTATTTTCGAGGCAGATTTTTCCCCGCAGTAGGTTGCCATTTCTTTTTGTGGTAGACCAGTTGCCATCAAATGCTATAGAACACGCTCCGTCCTGCTATTTAATTTACCCATAGCTGGGGGGAGAAGAGGAGGATTCATACCTTTCCCAAGGGTAGTAGCACCTAAGTGAATGGATTCCAATGGAATTCGAACTCGGCTCTCTGATTCCTCAATCCGAGCCGCTATCCATTACTCCACCGTGCCAAGCTGTGAGAAATCATTAAGAAATTAAAAAAAAATAATGCCACCTGATCTGCGAGCGGAAGTTCGCCTTGCAAAATCCCAATCGTGTTATCTAATAACCTCAACTCGTATTTCTACAAAGTGGTGGTGAAAAGCTATCGAGCTGACCCACTTCCCAAAATCAGGATTCTAATTTATCTTTCTGGGAGTAATAGATTACTGAAGAATGTGAGGCGTCATGTAATGGATAATGGCTCGGCATGAGAAATCGGAGAACCGAGTTCGAATTTCAGTCGGTTTCTTAGAAGCAAGTTCACTTGCAAAAGTTACGAATCCGTCTCTTCTCCCCCAACTATGGGCTGAATAGCCGTATAGAATATGTTCTATAGCCTTGATTGGCAATGAGTCTACCGCAGAATGAAATGCCAACCTACTGCGGGAAAATCTTCTGAGTCAGTCACGAACCGTAAAAGACATGATCGCCTAAGCGTGTATCATATAGGGCACTAAGCTGAGATTACCGAAAGTAGATCAGAAAGGAGTTCAATTTGTTTACTTGTAAAATTTTCTTTTTCAATCATTGAATATGATTATTTTCAGATTTTAAGATAGTTTGTTTATATTTATATAAACTGTGGCTATGGTGATTTTTCTAAGTGTATCTTAGATGTCGCACAAGGCCAAAAATATGGAGGTGACCCAGTGAAGATCGAACTCGATCCCCAGTCATAATTGCTCTAGTGAGACAAACTTGCTCATCATTTCACCACGTCGTGGCACATAATCTGTGTTTATGATGTTATAATGCATTAAAATTAGGCTATTCTTTTTATGGAACCTAGTGCTATGGTTTGTGAATTAATGAATATATTTTAATCTGTTTTTTCATTTAAATATAATTTCTATCGTTCACGTTTATTTGTTCTAAATAAATTGATAATAAAATGTATATTAACAATAGGTAAATCCATAATACTGCAGCTTAATGAATTTCCTACGGATATATTCATGGCTATTGCTCTGATAAGCTTTCCATTTTAGTACCGCGACAATGAACATAGTACTAGATTGGCATTTAGGTCTCATCATTTTCTTATTAAAATGCTAGATGTAACCGTAAGTTCTATTCTATGCAAGGTGATAGGTCCTGACATGGCATCTCGACTCCAGTCACTTTCTCACAGATGTGATGTGGCTTCCCTCTGTCTTTTCTACAACTATTGTCATGGAAAATGCTCTGGCGATATATTTTCACTGGTGTCCCAACTGCATGAATTTAAGCGTGCTACTATCTTGGCATCTCGCTCTCACTCTTATACTGTCGAAACAGTTAAATGTAACCGCTTCTTCTACTCCAACGGCTTCTTTTCTCACACTTCCCGACAGTGGAACTCCCTTCCTCTTACTTGCTTCCCTGATAACTATGATTTTAAAAAATCGACATCTTCTGATACTTTGATCTTGATCCCGTCCTTCTCTTTATCCTTTCCTGAGACACCCTTCTTTACTTTTACTCTTTGTAACCTTTTGCGTGCTAGTAGCACTCCTGCATTGCTTGAGGTGAAATGTTTAACAAAAATAGTTTCTTCTCTCGCCATTCCTGGGAATGATGATAAACTACATCCGGCAGCAAGGCCTCTGGTCGGGTTATTAAAACCGTGGCACCACCTCTTAATTTCTGTTGTTCCCAGGTCAACCTTGACCTGTGGTAGTAGCACCTGTTAGTGTCCCAGATATGAGCAAATAATGAACCGCCAAACAAAACACTATGGAAGTATAAAAGTACATTTTTCTAGTAAAACAAATAGAAATGCGTTTTATAGTAAAACTATCAACAATATATTTTTATAGTAAAATAACAGCAATACATTTTACAGAAAAAATGGCCAACAATATATTTTATCTGTGGGTGAAGGCATACAACTGCGTTCAAAATATTTTGGTTTCGGCATTAAACAACTCATAGAAGTATTGATATGCCGCTAAACAATATCAACTAAGCCAAATCATTTCTCGCACTTCTCCCCTGTTGGACTCACTTCTGCCTACTTGCTTTTCTGTTAACTAAGATCTTCAAAACTTTACAAAATAAATCACCATCTTCTGTTTTTTTTTAAAAACCCGTCCTTTTATTGTCCTATTCCTGCAATAACGTTTTCTCAGTTTTGTTCACTCCCAGTAACCCTTTGCCTTTTAGTGGCTTTATTGCCTTTCTTGATGTGATTTTTTTTTCTATTTCCAAATGCATAATGGTTAACCCTAGACTTGAAGAGGTTTGGTCATGAGCAAGTGGGTTAGGCGGAGTACTTTTCAGCGCCCTCGGTTTAACTGTCGTTGTTCAGAGGAAATAAGTATTCAAAATGTGAAGGTAAATTCTTAGATTTATTTGAATCAATAATAATAAGATATCATATCAAATAGCTGTCTGACTAAATTCCCTAAAGATGTCTTTTATGTTGAATATGTTCTGGGTAAACAACATTGTCAGTTTTTTCCTACAGGAGAAAGAGTAAACATGTTGTTTTGCAACGCCTGCTCTTGAACAACCCGCATAAAAACTTACTATATCAGAAGCACGGAAACGTATGTGCCGTGTCCCTTCAGATGTTGGCGGACATGGGTCTCCACAATTTCCTATCTTTTGAAGCTATTAATAAATTTTGTCTTTTTATTATCTCTCCTAAATCTTGTTCCGCCATCCATTTACTCAATCTCGCTAGGTGGGTTATGCTTTATCTTTCTTTATTTTTTCATGTTTTCTTCAGTTTGTCTCGTAAGTATCAGATTTTCCAAGTCCTCTTTCCTCATTATGTGCACTAAAAATTGCAGTCTAATTCTTCTGATATTAAGTACCGAGCGTAAAAGCAAAATTGTCCAAATCCTGTAACAGCAAAATTGTCCAATTGTTAGAGTAAGCTCTGAACCATTGTATCTTAGAAATGATTCAATATATCTTACGGGAATTCGCCAATGTGTTTTTATAACATTATAGGATTCTACTTTGAACAATAAGAATGTATAATTACTCTCCAAACTTAACAGAAGAATCATGATGAAATTAATCATAAACGAAAATGACATGTTCATGTTTTATTAACATTAAACGCAAAAAACAGATCAACTATTAAATGCATTGATGAGGAAATGAGAGTGTGTTCGTCACATTTAAGGCCTAACATTAAAAAATGCCAAAGCATATCAAGCTTTCACACAAGCATCCTTAAATATACAAATCACCCGGTTCACAATATTCTCCGGTCTTTTGAACAGGAATCGAGGCTAACATTCAACACAATTTTGCAATATTCCATCTCAGCTTATCCCCCTTCACTGAGAACGCTTGTTTACAAAACAACGTAACCACAACGATTAATATTAAAATTATAATTTAGCACACTCACGCGTGTTTGTAAAATCACTATCACAACGATTACGGTTATAATCGCCTGCACGTGATCCTGTGAATCACAGGCCATTCCAAAAGAAAAAGACTCCAGGGAAATTGTCGGCCGACAAAATATTGTTTCCGCATAAGGAATCGCTTCGGCGAATTAGAACTCTGCCTGGAGATATCAACTCGTCTGACCCATCAAGACAGATAACTTGATTTCTTGGCTTGCTCTTCTTATATATATATATATATATATATATATATATATATATATATATATATATACGTATTCGCTCGTACCTTTCTTTTTATGATCACTTTCCCTTTCTTGGTTAGACGACATTTTTCTTTTCTTAATTTGTGAATAAATGTTTTATTTTGAAATCCTTCGTCTTATGTGTTTTTTTCACTGACTCGCTTCCATTTCTGAGTGAACACCTATAAAGGATCCTACCTTTTCCTAATGCTGCCTAAATATGCATATATTTATATGTGTGTGTGTGTGTGTGTGTGTGTGTGTGTGTGTGTTTATATATGTATGCGTGTGTTTGTGTAAGTATGGATCGTCTTTATTTACATATTGATCAGCACTTCTGCCTGGGACGAAGATCAAAGATTCTGTGACGAGAACCAATGTGCCGCATCCCTTCTTGCCGAGGATCAGTGTAGAATTTGTGTACTCTGTGAAAAATGTTACAAGCACACACACTCGCACACACGCACGCGCGCGCGCACACACACACATACATATGCGTTTTGGCGAATGAATATTTTTATAATTAACTGATGCATAAATAATGCCGTCATTTTGATTTGCGTAACCTCATATAAAAAAAATTACCAGCACGGTCAAAAATATAACCGAAATATGTGACTAAATTTGCAATTTCGTTGGACTTATAAAACTTTATATTGTTCTAAATTTTCTTGTTTACCTTCCACGGTTCCTGAATATTACATTAATCAAACCATAATCTATTTATTATTAAATAATTATCGAGTTTTATTTAATGCAAAATGCAGCAGACGTATTCACTCTTGGTTCGACAAGGTGACATCATTCGTGTCAGTGAGTTGAGTAGTTTGAAAGAAAGAAAGAAAAAAAAGAAAGAAAGATTTAATTTTTGAGAAAGAAAGAAATATAACTAAGAAAAAAAAACTTTAATGGACAAAAAGTAAATGGTTGAAAAAGAAAGAAAAAATGATTAAAAAAAAAAAGTTATAAATGAAAAATAAAAACCGAAAGTAAAAAAGTAACTGAAAGTACACAAAAGAAATCAGATGTACTGTTTGGCCACCATGTTTGCTCAACTGGTTTCAATCGAATATTTATGGGACGTAGTGGAGAGGTATATTCATAGTCAAAAACCTGACAGCTGTCTCCCCACATGTCTCTCCGAATACTTGTGAAATCGATTTCACGGCAAGTTGCTACAATTAACAAGAATATAGCGAGAATTTATTGATCGATTGATTTGCTTTTTTACAGCTTATCAACCCTTTGTGAGTTATGCAAAGCAGGAAAATATTTTGAATTGTAAGAAAAATTCTTTTTATAGCGACGGGGATATCCCATTAACAATTTTTTGCAGATAACAATGATTTTTCTAGATACAAGAACTACTATTTCACCCATAGCGGGAGGGAGGAGATGGTTTCATACTTTTCCCAAGAGTATTTGGGCATAAGTGAATGTCACGCACCGACTGGAATTTTAACTTGGCCCTCTGATTTCACTCCAGATGGGATCCTACACAATAAAGGCACTTTTGGCACGTCAGTGTATTCATATTAACACAGAATTTACTATGCAATTTGAGTCTGGCGTGAGAAAAAGAATGTATTTCTTATAAATTTTGGACATGACATTTCATCAGTCATGTAAATCAATTATCGATAATCCTGAAACCAAACACTTTACCGTAAAATATGTTGATTTCTGCTGTGGTGTCTTCCCTCTAATGAGACTATTGTGGACTCTTCCACTTACTATAAAGTAGTAGGAAAGTAAGCCTTGAGGTGGGGAATAGTGATAGAGACTGAACGCTGGTCAACCGGCACACACTCCCAAGTCGTGTAACACACTTCTGTTGTATTTATTGTCCAATACACTATCTTCAACCTCTTGTTTTGTTATTCCTTAACATAGATGTTGTGACCAAGTAATTGATTAAGGAATAACAAAACAAGAGGTTGCAGATAGTGTATTGAACAGTTAATACAACAGAAGTGTATTACACGACTTGGGAGTGGGTGTCGGTTGACCAGCGTTAAGTCTATATCACTATCCCCTCCCAAGGCTTACTTAAAACTCCACAATAGTCTCTTTAGAGGAAGACACTGCAACAATTTCATAGATGTTTCTTCTTTCGTATGATGTATCCACTCCGGATGCTGACTTTCTACACTTTCCTATCCTTTAAAGCCCTTACCAATGTTTTTCTTTTTACTATTCTCTCTATTCCTCCTTTGCCACCTATTTACTCAAGCTCGTTAGGGAATTTACTGGCTGTTCCCCTTTGCATCTTTTGCTGTCAATATGCTCTGTGAAGATCAAATTCTCTAAGCCCTCTATCCCGTGCCCCATAAACTTTAACTATCTTTGTCATTCTAAGTATAAGTGTCTTTTCGTTTCCCTTTCCTCGTTGCTGATATTCTCAGCATCCTTCGGTAGAACCACATCTCTGTTCCCCCAGGTTTCTTTTTCATCTGCGAAGAAATGTTCCAGCATTCACTGCCGTATAAGTGAATTGATATTACATGGCACTTTCAGCATTCTTGTCTGTGTTTCTAATTAGATGTTCCTTTTTCTTAATACTTCGCTTAGCTTTTGAAAAGCATGTTTCGCTATTCCAGTGCACTTTGAGACTTCTGTGCGTCATTTTTCCGTTGTCTGTTATAACACTTCGCAGATTCTATATCACCTTTTAATATTTGAGGTCTCTATTTCTAAAAAGTATAGCACTCCCATATTCTCGTGCATTGATGTTCACGTCATCAAAATATCGAAAGATATTTTTTTTAATCCAGATAGGTAAGAACGAATATTTTGATAATCTTTATTCCGTGTTGAATTTTTTTTAATTATTTCAATCTAAAGAAAAATGGAGTTCGAAAGTACACTTCTTAAACGCGAGAGTTTTTTTGTTTTCGTTAATATCTTCTCAGAAATATTTAACTCTTGCTGATAATCTCAGTATATATATATATATATATATATATATATATATATATATATATATATATATATATATAAGGAAGAAGTTATAGTAGTTCCAACGAGAGAAAAGTGTGTATAATAAAAAAATTGGTTATAATGTGGATTTTTAAAATACATTATGATTTATTTACCATAATTTTATATATATATATATATATATATATATATATATATATATATATATATATATATATATATATATATTGATTATCAACAAGAGTGAAATTAAATGGATTAAGTCCGACAATTATTTAATATATTCAGGCTGGTAAATGTAATTCATACTGTTTAATTAAAAAAAAGATCATTCACTTAAATTGCATCTACTAAAATAGCGCACAAACAGAATATATATATATATATATATATATATATATATATATATATATATATATATATATATATATATATATGTAAATGACAATTGGAAAAAAAATCATATTTTTGCCGACGCGTTTCGTCTTCCGACTTTTTCAAGGCAGAAATGAAATCGAAATGTTTTTGTTGTTATAGTTACATTAAAATTCAAAATTAAAAAGATAGACGCTTGTGCCTAAGCCTTTTTTATGGATAATATAAATTATCTTTATACTAAGGGATTATAATTTTTTTATTATTTTTTTTTTTCCATGTCGACAATATAGTTAAATTCCCAGATGAATTCTGTGGACAAGACAGATTGATATCAAATGACAATTGGAAAAAATCATTTGATACCAATCTGTCTTGTCCACAGAATTCATCTGGGAATTTAACTATATATATATATATATATATATATATATATATATATATATATATATATATATATATATATATATACTATATATACTGCGTGCAAATTATTATCGAGATAACTTTTTCTAATATTTAAAAAACTTTCCAATCAATTCACACAAAATTTTCACACAATGTTGGCAACACTGACTTGCGCAATCGCTGAGTTTTTCGTATTGATCTGCGCAATGTAAACAAACTGCCGCCATATTTGTTATTAGCACGGTGATTTGAGCGTGCCAAATTATTATAAAGGTTTAGTAAAATTCCCAGAATTTAGCAAACAAAACGTTTATTCATGTTGAACGTGAATGTTTAGGATCAAAAGAAGCAAATAAATAAGAATTCATCTGGGAATTTAACTATAATCAAACAAATAATAACAGATACAAACAAAGGCACAATTTTAAGCAAATTAATAGGGAATGTGTTTTCCCTGTTTTGAAATTACTTGAAAAAGTCGACGATTCATAGAATTTGTTAATTGTAGGATGTCATCTGCTGTAATGCCGCGAGATATGTCAAGAATTGCTTCCCACAACTCAGTGTTGCTCCTGAATTGTCATCCGTTGGTGTACAGTCTTCGCTTCATGATGCTCCAAAGGTTTTCGATTGGGTTCAAATTCACAGAATTTGCTGGCCACTTCATTTTTCGAGGTCCATCGAAGCCTAACTGATTCAAATATTCAGTAGTCTTGTGAGCAGCATGTGAGGGAGCATTATCTTGCATAAAAAAATGGCCTTTCTGAAGGCAATTCTTTGCCTTTTCATCCACGGTTCAATATGCTCCTTCATAAACGCTATGTGTTCATCAGCAGTCATTTCGACGCCATCTGGTACTCTCCATGGGCCCACTAATGTTTTTCCAATAATAACACTCCAGATCATTATGCCTCCTCTCGTTTAAATCGTGACATGAGACGACGTGAAATAACCCTCGGCTTGCTTTTATCTACCCTTTTGCGTACTTGTGTAGGGTCGGCGGTGAATTTTTTCACTGTTTGATGACACCTCCCTATCATTTTAGAAATTTCTAGGTAGATTTACCTTTTGAGACTTCTGAGGCGATAATTTTCTTTTCAGCATCACTTAAACTGCTTTTACGGTCCATCTTTTCACTAAATTCTTACACTTTTCTAATGATGTGGCACGATCAAATCACCGTGCTGATAACAAATATGGCGCCAGTTTGTTTACATTGCGCAGATCAGTACGAATTGTACTGATTGCGCAGGCCAGTGTTACCAACATTGTGTGAAAATTTTGTGTGAATTGATTGGACGGTTTTTGAAATATTGGAAAAAGTTATCTCTATAATAATTTGGCACGCAGTGTATATATATATATATATATATATATATATATATATATATATATATATATATATATAAAGTGGTGTTCCATTTATCCATTTTAATGGCTGAAAAATATTCGTACAATGTAAATTTCAGATTTTAAAACATTTAAATTGCTTACATTATTCAAGTGGAATACTCTAGAATATTTCAATAATGTTATCAGTTTCAATAATGTTATCAGTTTATTTGTTTTGGCCTAAAAATACAAACAGAACATTTTGTAATTGATATTCGTTTAACGTTATTTTCATCGCAGGAGGTAAAAATTCGCAAAAAGAACTGACTGTTAAGCTATGGAAAGAATTTAAAAGTTACAGGAAAATCCCGGACAACCTGAACATTTCATTTACTACCATTAGTTAATTCATTGCAAGGTATAAAAATCTCAAAACTGTTGAAAACCAAGGAACAGGTGTTCCGCGCAATATTTCTTCAAAATCTTCCAGTAAATTAATGCGTCAAATTAAACAAAATCCAATGGTTACTCGTCAAGAGTTGCTGGATGATTTGCTTTCATCAGGAATCTGTGTCACTAAACGTACAATAAGCAATGAAATTGAAATTCATAGGAACAACCTACTTCGGAAAACTCGATTGCTATTGAAAAGACACAGAGATGCCAAGTTGAAATTTGTTAGTGAACATAAGGATAAGGAAATCATATTAAGAGTACTATGGACAAACGAAACCAAAATTGAGTTGTTTGGACGTAATTCTAGAAATCATTTGTGGAAGAAAGATGGTGATGCCCTCAAACAAAAGAACGCGGTCCCAACAGTGAATTTACGGTTTGGAGATCTTTTTTCTTGGAAAAGATACTGGCAACATATCAGTAATAGATAATATAATAAATAGCGCAGTATATCCAAATATTTTGCAAGGAAATTTAATGATTTCGTTTGGAAAATCTTGAACTTCCTCCTGATTGGATCTTCCAACAAGATAATGATCCAAAGCACACTGAAAAACCTACGAAGAAATGGCTTGCTACAAATAATGTAAATATCCTGAAATGGCCAAGTCAGTCCCCAGATTTAAAACCAATCTAGAATCTGTGGCGTTATTTGAAAATTAAAATCCAATCGAGAGCTCCAACAAACATCCCGGATCTGATGACCATATGACGAGAAGAATAGCAAATAAAATTTGGAAATCATTGAGAACTACAAGAAGAGGTTGCTTCCTGTAGAAGTGAATAATGGCTATTTACAAAGTATTGATTGAAGATTAAGTATTCTTTTTTGTATTGTATTTTTTCATCCATTAAAATGGATAAATGAGATTTATTTCTATTAAAACATGTTTACTGTTTTCTATGTATATTTAGTTATTATGCATCTGTCTACAGTTAATTATATGAAAAGTATGTTTATTCATTAGTTGGAAATACAATAAATTAAAAATTTGTATGTGTACAAATATTTGTTTCCCCCGATGGTTCTGAATATTACAATAATATAACATATCCTGTTATTATTCCGATGAAACATTAATACGGCCCTTCAATAATATTTATGCATATATGCTATACATATTTAATTCCCATCTCCAATACACACACACACACGCGCACACACAATAAATATATATATATATATATATATATATATATATATATATATATATATATATATATATATGAGAAGTATTACTATTTGATCGGAATAATAATATTTTCTGACGACGTAAATAACAGATAATTAAGTTTAAACCCTCCTTTCTCGGACGACTGTACTCTTCGGTTCAAATTAAGATCGCTAGAACACAGCCTAATGAATTTGTCTCCGAGAGACGAACGAACAGAGAAATAGCTTTTATTATATTACAGATGTGTACCTCTTGGAATCTCAGGAAGGTTACTGAATTGACCTGACCGTGGGTCTGTATTGCCTTGCGTCACCTCTCGCCCCAAAGAGCAATTAATAAACACTAGCCTGCAATACTCGATTACGAAAGACATTCTTTTTGGGCTTATATAACATGGAATTTTTTACTGTTAGAAGTTTGATATTATTATCGTTTGTTTTTGGGTTTTTTTGTGTGTGTGTGAAAACGTTTCAAAAAACAATACAGGCTTATTATTATTAGCAATGTATATATATATATATATATATATATATATATATATATGTCAGGACTATAACCCTTCGATATTCTCGTGCATGTTCCAAATATTAAAGAGTGGTTTATGTTATTTTTAATCCTGACAGGTAAGAATTTAGTAATCTTTTTTTTATTATTAACTATTTCAATAAAATAAAATAAAATTCGGAAGTACACTTTCTTACAAAAGCTAGAGATTTTGGTTTTATATTATTTATATATTATATATGCGCGGTACTTATTGGAAAGCGCTCAATATCACCGATAGAGCTAACATTTTGCTTGTCTGACGATCGCAAATAGCGTGAAACCCAGGGTCACAAACTCACATCAATCCAATTAAATATGTTAGTTCTGTCACTGATATTGTACGCTTTCTAATAAATTGTGATAGAAAGAGACATTTTACACACTGTAATAGATACAGAGGGGGTGACAGAATCAGACGAACATATAGTAATAGATAGATAGATAGATAGATAGATAGATAGATAGATAGATAGATAGATAGATAGATAGATAGATAAAGTACAAATTGTGATATAGAGAGAGAATATACAGATTGTAAAAGATACAGATGTGGGAGACAGAATCAGACAAACATATTGTAATAGATAGATAGATAGATAGATAGATAGATAGATAGATAGATAGATAGATAGACGTGAGTTTGTGATCCTGGGTTTCACACCCTTTGCGATCGTCAAACCAACTGATTAATTTTGAAATTTTGGAATTATTTATGGTTGCGTATATCGGTGTTTTATGGTAGTGGGAGGAAAAATTTCGACAATTGTTCCTCCCACTACTGTTTCGTAATACTTTGCTTAGCTTTTGTTTGGCATCTTTAGTTATTCCTATGAGTTTTCAGATTTCTATGTCATAATTTCCGTCGTCTGTTAAAAACTGTTCCCTTAAAAATCTAGATTTTTGTACTTGCTTGGTTCTGTTGTCCCCAAATCGTAGTTCGCATTTTGGGCTCTTTCTTTAGCTGACAACCATATATACGCAGATAACGCAGAAAGAAAACTGCAAGAACTAAACGAGGTAGCAAAGGAAAGTGAGATGAAATGACTATCTATCTAATGGAAGAAGGGAGAACTAATGTTACTAGCAGTATAACCCGCTTCGACCGGGTCTTGCATTACTGAGAATTTTTGCCGTTCAGTTAGAGAAGTTTAAATTAAAGTCAGCCCACCCGAAATCAATATTAGTAACTGATATAATGGAATATGCGTACACCTGTTTTCCCCCTCACTGAAATATGATTGGCTGGCGTCCGTCATAAATACTGACGGACGTGTAGGTACGACAGAGTCAGAAGAGCCTTAGTCTTAGAGCTAAGTCTATAACGACCCCCATTGGACTACGCCATTGATCTACACTTCTTACCTGCGACTACGACGCGTACCAGTCGATTACTGCTACCATATTCTATTTGGTTATACTAGCCAAAACCACTTAGCTACTTTGCTCAAATATATCCCTTTCCGGGACATATCAGTAACAACAATTAGGTGCAACTGAGATACATCCCCAAATGGGGAGGATAACAATTTGAATGGAGCGGGGTATTTCAGCCTCACATACAGCAGCAGTTGAAGTGGCGTTTCTCCTCAGCCGTTGAGACCTGTGAACATCAGTTTCAGCCTCGCGCGCAGAAGCATCCAGTTATGCACTTCTGGAAAGCCGATGGCTACGTTGATCTTCGGACTCAGTGGCTGTGATTGAAGCATTTTGAGAGATATTTTGGGACAGGAAAACTGAACGTTCTGAAGACGATTCGTTATCTTTTATTCGCATGGCGGACCTGGCGGCAGCGGTTTTGCGACCTAGGCAAGTTCTTTAGTGGCATGTTTTAGGCAAGTATGAATTTTCAAATGGAATGCCTGGGCAAATACCAGAAGAGAAAGTTGAAAAGCTACAGGAATCACTAAGCTCGAATAACTTTAGGAAAGGTTGGAAAAATAAATGTAACAAAAAAGTAACAAAAAAGTAAGCTTACTTATTACTACGGTGAATGCAATGCAAAAACTAGCAGGACACTAAAAACATTTAAATTGGGAACGGCTATAAACGACAATGAATCAACGCCTTAAAACTGTAATAGTAAGCTTTAAGCAACGGAAAAGGTAACCTCACTTGAGATAGATTGAATCTTGGCCAAGAGAGGGGAAATGTGTAATTTGGACTCAATACCGGCACTGAAGAATTATCTATCAAACAAAAATAAATATCATCAAAATTGGATGAAAACTGTGGAAACGCATAAACAACCGATCACACACACACACACACACACACATTTTGAGAATTATAGATATAGATAATATTATTGTAATAATTTAAACTATTTCTGTTTATTAAAGTTTTTTGAAAGATATATATCAAAGAACAGATAGTAAATAGTAAAACGTTGCTGAGAGTTATAATGAACAGGAAGTAGTGGAGAGCCATTGTCGTCAACAATTTGGACTCAAAACCAGCACTATCAAACAAAAAATTCAAATCTCATCGAAATCGGAAGAAAACTGTGGAGACGCATAAACAACATCCGATCACACACACACAGACACACACACATACATACATACACATTTTAAAAATTATAGATATGAGAAAATTATAATTGTTCCCAACATTCCGGTAAGAACAAGTGCTTGTAGGATCGCCACGCAGTAAAGTTTAAACAAATCCAGTGAAAATAAATTTTACAAATTTTTTATTTAGATAAATTTGGAAAAACCGGTATGTTTAAAAAAAAAAACGGCAGGAAGATTTGGGTTTCAAACCATATTTTAATCATTTAACTCCAAAGGGAAGTGAAAATGCCGCTAAGTCAAGAACTGCTCGTAATCATTGCAAGGAAGTTCTAGAAAAGTGATGCGATGCTCAAGTAGTTTAGGTCAAGCAAACAATATGGATCCCGTGAGTGCTGGAACCTCTCCAACCAAATTCTCAATAGAGACAAAGCGTCAGTCCCTACTATTATACATGGCCATGAAGTCATCTCACTGCATTTCGGTGCAACCTTTGTCTCGAACACCACGTTAACCAACAAAGATCACCCCCTTCCTGACTTCCCTCCTCTCCAAGAGCAGAAATTTAGCACAATACAGAAAGTATCAGGAGTCCTAACCCTAAGAAGGCTACAGGTTCAGATAAAATCCCAGTTGTTGTCTTTTAGAGTAACTTAGAGAGATCCGCGATCTTAGTAAAACTATTTAACCATTAGCTGATGGAAAATCATTTATAAATTTAGGAAGGTGTCAAGTAAAGTATATACCGTTTTCAAATATGCGAATAAGCACTCGTCTACGTGTTAATATTGGCTTATCAGCCATCTTAGTATTATCAACAAAGCTTTTGAGGCTATAATCAACAAGAAGGTTGTTGATCACCACAACAAGAACAATCTTTTGAACGACAAGCAATAGGGATTTTGTCCACTGCTAATATCATTTCATTACTTACAGAATCAGTGAGGCACTAGACAATATATCACAAAGACAATCGGATTAGATATCTCGAAAGCCTTCCACAAGGAGTAGCATAGAAAGTTGCTGCACAAGCTCTCCAGCTATGGAATCGCTGGAAGAGTTTTCTCAGTTATCAAGTCCTCCTTAACGGGGACATCCTTGAAGTAGTTGTTAATAGATAAAGCTCCTATCTCCATCTCTCTTTTTACTTTTCATTATCTGCCTAAGAGTGTACTCCGATCTCTTGTGGATATCTATGCTGATGGTACAACGTTATATGGGTGCTCCAGTAAAATTCAAGAGTCTGGCAAATGATCACTTTTCTGATTAAGCTCTAACAACTTAGTGGAGCAAAACTGGCTGGTCTTATTCAATGCCACCAAAAGCCAACCAGTGACGATAAAGCATCACCCAGCGTGTTCTGTATTTTAAATATCGCTATGAACGGGGTTTTTTCACACAGAGAGACCAAGTGCCTTGACCGCCTATTTGTATATAAGCTCACCCCAGACCTCAAGTGGACCTCTTACATAGGATCCATCGTCAAAGATGCTGAAAGAATGGTCAGCTCCCTGTATCACTCCAGTAAGCACCCCACTCCTCCAAGAATCAGATTAGGCCAATAAAAGAACACTGCTGTCATCTTCGTTTTCTAGTCCCGATAGAGTCCAAAAGCATCTATGCGGCCTGTTGGGTAATGAATTGTTTTTCACTATACAATCCCTTTCTTAAAGACAAAAATTTGCCAGTCTCTCGCTACTCTATTGCTATTTCCATGGGAAACGTTCAGACGGACAACATTCCTTAGTGCCACCAGTTCTAACCTTCACAGCTAAGACCCGCGATGCCACTCACATTTTAGTGAACCACCCATGTAGCCTTTGGTTCTAGGACAGTTGCATACTGGACATTTGTGTCCCAGACAGATGCGTACCAGACAATTGCTTACCTGGACATTTGCGTCCTTAGACAAATGCGTCCCTGTATAATTGTGTACCTCTAAGAATTTTGTGAAGCTTTTAAAGGAAGATAACCATACATTTTGAAAAAAAAGCATAGGTAGCAATCATAAATTTATAAAAAAAGGAATAAAATAAAAAATATGAAAAGTTTATTTTTGTTTAAAATGCAATGACAGATTAACAGTGTTTAAAAATATTTCAGAAAATTCAAATTATGAATGTTGTGATCTATCCTTTTTAAAAAATTTGTCTTGTTTTCTGGAGTATACTTATCTAATAGTGCCATAATTCTCTTATTTGCAGTTTTAATTTTTGATCCACTCTTTGAAAGTCTCTTTTATTTCTTTAAGGCAACGACCTCCTCCTTTTTCAATGTTTCAGTTAATTCCCAGAATATATTATAGATGTTTGCGGTAGGCACTGCTGGAATGAGCTGAAACTGTTAGCTTAATTTTCTCTTGCTTGAAAAAAAGAAAGTTTTCTCTTTTTTTATTTATGGTAACTACCTTTCTGTTTGTTTAAAGTAATTAAAGGTATTGCTGAGCAAATTTCTATATTAAAGAACTCTTTAAAATAAAAAAAGAGTTTTTTCCCTTTCAACATTTAACTATTTGCTTATTTAGAATAATTAAAAGTTGGTTTGCAATTAGCAACTCTTAAGAAAAGAAAGTATAGTAACTTCAAAAAATTATCAGAAGTACACAATTATCCAGGGAAGGATTTGTCTAGGGATCAAATGTCCAGGTACACAAGTCTCCGGGACGCAAGTGTCCAGGACGCAAGTGTCCGGGACGCAAGTGTCCGGGACGCAAGTGTCCATTATTCCCTTTTATTCCATTAGTCAGTTGTAAATTCCACTCGAGCAGCTTTTACCTACGAACCGCTATTTTGTTAAACTACCTCCCAAGAGGCAGCTTGCCCTGATCAAGTGGTAAACCGTTATCTTCCCTACATATCATCATAAACTGTGCCTCCTACCTCTTGTTCTATAAGCTACTTCGAGTGACTTTTGGGCCTTCGATATAGTGAACATTATTGCAAAGAAAAAGTTGCAGGACGTTAGTATAAGTGAAAGAAAACGGAAAAACTGCCGTGAGAGGAAAGAACTATACAAGAACAAGTTTCAGAAGATGGGGATTGATGTTGATGTAAATCTTTGAAAACCAAAGGTAACAAGAAATCAGGAAGCCGAAAAAGAGTTACACAGGCGAGAAGTGCGAGAAAATAAACTGTGAGAATAGAACTGATGCTCACATCTTTAGAAAACCAGGAAGTTGACTAAAATCCTCATTCAACTGATTTAAATAACTTGGTGGAAACTTATCTAAAATCCCAGTCAGTGAAATTGTATGGACTGGCTGGAACTATTTATAATCATTTGCAAGCAAGAAAAAAGAACAGTAAAGATTATTTGAAATAAATGACAAATAGAAAATGATATGTTTGAAGTAATAATAATCAACTGTATGAAATTTATTTGATTATGAACTACATCATTACTTTGGTAGAATTTTATAGGTAAATCGAATTTCTGCACATTCACTGGGTGCAAAGATGAAGCCAAAACATTGACGGAAATGTCGATATAGTTCTTGAAAGGTTATTGTAAGTGTTCCGCTTAAATGGAGGTATCTGATATATTAAAACTTCATTCAAAATGGCGAAACAATTAACACGCATAAATATAAGGGCTACTTTGAAATAGTTTATTCAAAATTTAGACAGTGCCAAGTTTGGTGAATAAAAGAATAGAATAGAGTTTATTATACTCTGCCTATTAAGCGGACAACTTTCCTAGAAATTTGCACTTATCATGTATCTTCCTTACAATTAAGGTCTTCAATAAGGATGAAATGGGCAAAATCTTTAATTAGTTTATCATTCTCTCTATTTCTCATTGTCACCCTTTCTCCTTCTCTCATCTCTCTCTCTCCCTATATATATATATATATATATATACACACACACACACACATATATATATATATATATATATATATATATAGATATAGATGAATATGCATATATACAGTGCTGTTCAATCTGATTCACGGGCTTTTTTTTACTTAAAATTTTTCGCTTATTGTTTTTAGGGTCAAACTAATTTTTAATCTTACTAATATAAAGACCCCTTCCCGACCACCTAGTAAAAAAGTTTACTCACCCTAAGGCATTCTTTTGATAATTATAATTTTGAATATAAATGAGCTATAGGGAAAAACTCTGTACAAAAAAAAAGTGACTCACTTATTTCCTGCAACTAGTAATCAATAGAAACATAACCGAACAGCTTTAAATAAGAGAATAATATAGGTATATTTTATTTATAATAGGTAATATAGTTCGAAATATTTAATAATCTATGGGTCCTCCTTTATTTTGAATAACCTTTTCAACCCTTTTTGGCATTGATTTGATTAGGTTCTGGAAAATCTCATCTCCAAGCATTGAATTCCATTCGGATATGAAATTCACAATCAAATCCTCTTTGTTGCTCAACTGCTTTCTCGAGAGCCTGTACTTTATAATGCTCCATAAGTTTTCTATGGGGTTGAGGTCAGGAGATTGGGGTGGCCATGTCATAACACTCACCTGTTTCTCATCAAAGTATTCCTTCATCAATTTTGATTTGTGACAGGGAGCATTATCCTGTTTAAAAGTGAGCTTGGTGGGGCCGATTTGCACCCTTTCAGCAGAAGGGAGCAGACAAGACTCAAAAATTCTCTTGTACTGCCCGCTCCAGCGGGTCTTTTCAATAGGTTTTAAGAAACCAGGTCCATGAAAAGAAAAGCATCCCCAGAACATTATACGAAACGGATGTTTGACAGTACTTATTGCTAACTTCAAAGAGCTTTCAAAGCTTCTTCTTCGGATCTTAGATCGCTTATCGTTTGAATTTAGCTCAACTTCGTTTCATCGGAGAAGAGAACATTCTTCCTCTCTTCTAAAGTGAAAATTTTGTAATAGTGAGCCCATTCAAGTCTCTTGGCTTTGTTGGCTTTGCCTATTAGCGGCTTAAACCTTCATGTACAAGATTTGTAGCCTTGTTCTAACAGCCACTCAATATCTATCTCTCTGACTCTCTCTCTCTCTCTCTCTCTATATATATATATATATATATATATATATATATATATAGATAGATAGATAGATCTATATCTATCTCTCTGACTCTCTCTCTGTCTCCCTCTCTCTCTCTCTCTCTCTCTCTTTCTATATATATATATATATATATATAGATAGATAGATAGATAGATAGATACTATTTACATTATTCGGACTATTGTCCTCATCTTTGTCGCCATATTTATTACAATGTTTCGGCCGTTGTACGCTCCGGTCTTCTTCAAGTGGTCGGAATGTTGAACTGAACTCTTTATTTCGCTCACTGGGTAGACTGTTCTAGTTCCACCTGCTATGATTAATGGATGTCAGTTATCAATTATCTCCTGTTAATTCCCCTCTCAAAGTTCTCCACCACCTTAACCAGGTATTGAACTCACACACTTTGGGTTCTGACACTGGATCTAACAAACGCCTTTATCCACTGCCACATGGCACAGTGGATAAAGGCAGCACTATCTCCTGAAGGTACTTGATGTAGGAATCCGAGTTGTATCTGAGGATATAACCAACAAATTCTGGAATTCTTTTCTTATCGAGTTTTCCGAGTAGCTGTAATCCTCATCTAACTCTTTCCGAATCGTCTGCGCTGTCCTCGGATTAACACACAAACAGTCTGAAATGTTTGTGTCGGCGCTTCCGGCTCGAATGCCAATCAGTATAACATGCCTTTCCAAATTTCTGGCGAAGTTAATGGCGTTATGCTACTTCTTTTCTCACAGACAAAATCCAACTGACACTACTATACTCTGCAGTCAATTTACCCATTGCTACCTGCATTACACACGCACACACACACGCACACACACACACACACATATATATAGTAGTAGTAAAAGTATAAAACATGTAAGATTAAAATAAATTCATTAATTCTTTAGAAATTGATTTGTTAATTTTTCGGACAAGCAACTGAGCAGATATGGACTCTCAGGAATGTGATTTCTTTAAAATGAAAGATATTGCCAAACTTAATGCCTTAAACAAACTGTTGTATATATATATATATATATATATATATATATATATATATATATATATATATATATATATATATATATATATATAGGGTTGGTGCATAATTATCAGGCGTTTTTAAACAATATTTATTATGAAAAAAGAAACATAACAATTCAACATTAACATTTTTAAATACTCATTCCGGAGCGTATTATTACCGAAAGACATTTTTATAAACTGAAAATAAATAATATTTTTATTTAAAAAAAAAGCAATTTTATTGAAAATAACTTGTCTAGAAAAAAAACTGATAATTATAGGCCAAATATGAATATATATATATATATATATATATATATATATATATATATATATATATATATATATATAATATGTTTTATGTTTATATTATTATTTTATATTATAAGTAGAGTATTTACTTAATATTTGTATCTATAAAACAACCTATAAACATAAAAAATGTCTCAAAATAATTGTCGGATTCAACCCATTTCACAATATATATATATATATATATATATATATATATATATATTTGAATGGATTTTTCTTCGACGGTATTTCTTTTTTGCTATAAACGTTAGTTTTTTGGTAGGTACACGTCTCTCTGTTGCAACAATAAATCAAATAGCCATGGATCTTAGAATATCCCGTCGAGAGATGAGAATTTGGCATGACGAAAGTTTCTACCACTTCTTTTCACAACTGATTAAAAGCGCTCTACACTGAATACACCACAGGAACATTGTTTGAAGCAGGTCCAGTTGGTTTAAATAAACGTTTCCTCACCCAGGATAAGTGTTGGGTTCATCACTTTGAGCTAGAGACAAAGAGATAACCTATGCAGTGGAACTACCCTTTCTCACCTGCTCCAAAGAAGAGTATGGTCGC